CCTCGTCAGTAGTGTTCTACCTCTTCAGTCCTTATGTGACCGTTTCTTTTGGCTTACAAACTTGTAAAGCAGTACTACTTTTGCTATTACTACTGCAGTACTACTTGTGTTTGTCTCGTCTACATAGTTCTTTTCATTCATATGGTGCTAGAACAACTTATGCTCACGACAACACACTTTCGGCGCTTCACGGTAGTGTCAGATCCAGTAGCGCGCACAGTCCACAACAGCACACATGAAAAGCGGCAGCTCGAGTTGTCACTATCAACTTTCGGCGCTGCCTGTTGACATAAAGTGAATCACGCCCACGCGTGATCGTCTTGTCACATCTAATGAATAATGTATCTCATTGAGTTCACATATATTGCAGTGAAAACGACGCTATATAATTGACAATCTGAAGGCAACCTCTTCATATCTTCTTTCCCACTAGCACACAACACACGAAAATGGAAGCGCCATTCCTTGAGCGTCTCAACTGGCGAAGCGATCCTTTTGCTGGTTGGTTTCCACCATGGTGTGACCGTCCTTTGTGCGATTGTGGGGATGGATGCATACTCAAGTCTTCCCTCATGATACAAACTCGGGGCAGGAGATTCTTCCAATGCGCGAACTTTGATCAGGTATGCTTCATCTATTCGAAGTTCAAATGGATAAAAAAACTAACTTCTTCGTACACAATTGTAACATCTTACGCAGACATATCGTCCAATGTGCAACTTCATCGAGTGGGTAGACATGGAGAACCCACAAAACGACGGAACCCGTGCTTACCCACGTAGTGAAACAAGATCGGACTACCTAAGGCGGAAGGATGAGCATGAACGTCGAATTGCTGCTGAGGCTTTAGAATGGCACGTAAATCCCCTAGGACTCCCCACGTGGCGTGAGCGTCCGGAGTGTCGTTGTGGTGACCGTTGTCAGGTCATAAGGTCCGTACGGCACTGAACTCGAGGACAAAGGTGTTTCGTGTGTCCAAACATTGTCGACGATGATTTCGTGGTAATTACAACTATTCTTTTCATCACTCCTCAGTACTATCATTAACTTAACTATCCCAAAATGGATGTACATAGGAGGATGTAAGGAAATGTCAATTCGTACAATGGATTGACACAGTCAGAGTTACTTCAAGTGGCGGGCCGATAACGCAACCTGAACCGACCATACAGTTCATTCATGCTTGGATGGAGTACGAACGTCGGGTGGAAATTGCAAGCTTAGACTGGAGGAACAATCCATTAGGGTTACCTAAATGGTCCGAGCGTCCAAAGTGTGGGTGCAGAGATCGCTGGCAGGTGGCTACATCCTTTGCTGAACAAACATTTCGAAGGAGATATTTTGTCTGCCCCAATGTAGACAACGATTTCGTTGTATGTCTAACCATTTACAAAATCCGCTATGATTTGCACAAAATTACTACCCAAACTGAATAACATTACAATTTTTACAGGGCAATCCAAGGATGGGTGGATTTACTCGATGGATCGACAATGTCACTCCATCATATCATGGCCAGAAGATAACAGAGTCAGAAACACAAGTAGAGTATCAACGATTGAAGGACCACGAGAATGCAATGCATTCTGACCGACCTAGAAGGGGCTGATAGGTTACCGCATGCTTGATTCGTCGGGATCGACAAATTTGTACCGTGTATCGATGGCACTTCTTATCTATCTTATCATTACAATGTGTAATTATGGTGCTGATTTTTTGTATGCGTAAGACTAAGGGCCTATTTGGATTGCTACCAAAAACATGCCCTACCAATATTTTGGTAATTTGAATAGTACTTGTGTTTGATTTCGATTGAAGCCTATTCATTGGTAATACGTAATCTAGATTTGAGATTATGTAGAACATTCTTCACTACAATTTTACATTTTGGCAGCAAACCAAATATGATCAAATGCAATTTTACCTTACCAAATATTTGATAGTGCCAAAACTTGCTTATATTTTGGCACTAACAAAATATTTGTACGGTAACATTCCAAATAGGCCCTAAAAAATAATAAAATTGTATTTTACCAGTCTTGGAGATTTTAATCTTGTATAGTTTTCAATATAAAAAGATTTGATAACTATTGATATTTATACAAAAATATAAAGCACAGTATAAAATCGCCCTCCCCCAGGGCGGCAAGGGGGCCGCCTGCAAAATTCCAGGCCCCCCGCCGCCCATTTGCAGGCGGCCCCCCGCACAGTACAAAATCGCCCTAGCGGAGGGCGGCAAGGGGGCCGCCTGCAAATTTCGTTGACGGCCGTCGCCCGAGAGCGAACGGCCGTCTGCCACGTCACTTTCGCCGCCCTCTGGGATGGCGATTTTTAAAAATCGCCCTCCCAGAGGGCGGTAGGCGACCACTTCTGTCAATTTTCAAAATGAAAAATTATTTTTGTAAAACTTTTAATAAAAAAAATTAAAAATAAAAAAAATTCTGCAGTCTACCTCCATATCAATCTTTTTGTTCGTCTCCTCGACATACCATGCCGATCACGTCTGAAGGCGAATCAAATCCGTATACTATACTGCCTTATTCTGCCTATAACAAAGCAGTAGGAGATCGAGATTCATCTACCCGTTGTCTCTAATCGACTCATCGTTAAATCTTGTATCCATCGCTAGGACGGAATTAAGCCAAGCTGCAAAGTGCAAACCAATCAATGGAGCGCACACGACGTGTCGATTCTAACCGGCCGCCTCTCCGGGACGCTAATCGGATCCGCGTGGAGACCATGATGCGGGGAAGAAGATACACGCTACTGCACAGCCCACCAGTGCAGGCACAGCAATACGATCGCTATCATCATCAGCTTCCTCACAGGGAGATGCGGCAGCGAAGATGGCTACGGGATTACTTGGCCAGCGTAAGCGAAGAGATGGATCGAAGACGGCTACAGGCACGAGCCGGCATCGACGACCATCGACTGGAGTCGCTGCACCGGCCGAGGCTGGGGGAGACGAGGGAGGAGGCGTGCGCCGTGTGCCTGCAGGATTTCGGGGAGAAAGACGAGGAGCTCAGGATGATGCGTGCTCGCACTCGTTCCATCAGCGCTGCATCTTCGGTTGGCTTGTGATCACAGACAGCTGCCCCGTCTGCCGCTCGGCGATGTCCTCGTACAACGATGTTTTGGAGGAGCTGCACTCTGAGCTAGAGCAATGGATACAGGTCGTAAAGCTACGACTGAATAATGCCAATTGACCGCGCACTGCTCCTATGGGGGCTGCTATATAACGGTATCCCGTTTTCGAACGGGATGATCCCGAGTAGGTATCAGGTGTGATACCTATCAGGTATCAGACAATTCTACACAACAGGATGATCCCGAATAGGTATCAGGTGTGATACCTATCAGTTATCAAACGATTCTACACACGTTTCAGATGATACCTGCAAATATCATGTGATACTTATCAGGTATAATGCGATTTTCTACCACGTATCGCGTGATACTCGCGAGGTATCATGTGAAACCTGTCAGGTATCAGATGATTTCAACCACGTATCGCGTGATACTCACGAGGTATCATGCGATACCTGTCATGTATCAGACGATTTCTACCACGTATCACATGATACTCGCGAGGTATCAGACGATTTCTACCATGTATCACATGATACTTGCGAGGTATCGGATGATACCTACCAGGTATCAGGTGATTCCTACTAGATATAGTTGGGCATCCCGTTGGGAGAGGAGCACCCCGACACGCAGTGGCGAAGCCAGGATTTAAAGATGGGGGGTGCCATCTACGAGACGTGATAACTCACTTAAGGTTCGGTGAACAGTGATATTGTAGCGTTGATGTATGATCGCTAACTCGACATCATACATGTTATAGCGATTAGCTACAAGAGAGAATGAGAACCCATAGATCATAATTTGCCAATTTAAAATTCAGTGATATTTTTAATATATGGATGATTAAACAGTTTGTTCCATGATTTTAATTGGAGTCTTGCAATCATTTTTAAAATGATAAATCAGTTAACTAAGTCATTTCATAAGTCCTATATATATAGCTAGGCAGTTGTCCTATATAGTTAGTCTCATCCGTAACTAATAATATAATTAATTGCTAGATTATAAGGGCTAATTATCCTTGGGAGAAGAGAGGGGAGGGGAGGTCACATAGGGGTTAGGGGGGTGTTGGCCCTCCCTGGCCCCTACGGTGGCTTCGCCACTGCCGACACGCGCGGTCGCCCCCAGCAGCCGTCCCTTGTAGACGAGGACGGCGACGGCGGCAGCAGATGACGGGCGCGGCGACGGCGGCGGTAGCGGGGGACGGGCGCGACGACGGTGGGGGATGGGCGCGGCGGCGGCGGCGACGGCGGCGTCGACGGGGGAAGGACGCCACCGCGGCGGCGGCGGCAGCGGAGGACAGCGACAGCGTCGGCGAGGGACGGGCGCGGCGGCAGCGGCGGATGGGCGCGACGGCGGCGGCGGAGGAGGAGGCGACGGGGGACGGACGTGGCGGCGGCGGGGGACGGCGACGGCGGCAAGTGAGTGTATGGATAAGAATCGCGTGTGGAGAGGAGCTATCCCGTTAGATATCCCGTCCCCTAGCATTCCCCGCTCCTATTTATGGGGGTAAAAATCAAGTTTAGCAATGATGCAGTTTGGTTCAAATGCACTTCTCCAATTTTTTTTTTTTTTTTGGGAATAACTTCTCCAAATTTTTGGAAGACGTCTTCTTGAGGAAGTTGAACTTGTTAATTTTGAAGCAGTGTGTGATTACGTCGATGCTCCCCTTTGATCACGATCCTAATTCCAGTTTCTTTCTCCATTGTTTTGCGTGTAGTTTCCTGGGGCGTTTTTTTCTTTTCTTTTTTCCTTTTCGAAACAAGATTGTTCAAGATTTTACCCAGGGACAATTTTTATTTTCTATAAAAGGTGTGAGATTAATCGAACAGCGCAGAAGGGGTTCGGAGTTTTAGTCGCCGTCCCCCAGCCCATTCTGGAAGCCCATTATCACAAGCTCGTCTGAACTGGGTAACGGAAACAGCCCATGTTAACTTACTGCGCGCCCGGAAATTAAAGCCCAACGCATGTCTACTGTTCGTCACCATTAGGTGCACTGGGGCGGTTTATACTCCACTAATCCGTGTGATTGGGGGTGGATCCGAGTCGGATTCACTCTCGATTAAGATGCGGAGTCAGATCGAATTCTTCGGCTATATAGTTTGCAGGTGCGTCTCTTGGAGGTCTCGTTTACCTCCTGATCCATTCCCCCCACCCCGCCTATTGATTGATCTGCTCGCCTCCGCCATTGTCGTTGTCGATCTCTTCTGAAGGGTGAGCGCCGGCTGCGGCAGGGAGGCGTGTGTTGCTGCCGCAGATCGATGGAGGTGGATGCCTCCGCGGTCGCAAGAGCACTACCAAGAGATTTCCCTCCCATCGAGAACTTGAGCTTCGAAGGCTTCCCCCGTTATACTTTCAAGATCGGCAACCGGATCCACTGCACCAACTTGATGTATCGCCCAGGTAGTCGGACGCTATTAACGCAGGAAGAAGCTCATGAGATCATTCGCGAGGGCTTGAGGTCTGACATTCGTCGGGGCCGCATACAACTGAACGCCGACTTCTTGCAGCAGCTTGTTGATCAGGTTCGCGATCATATTCTTCAGCGTCAGCGCCGTGGCACTGCCACTGCCATGGATGGAGTAGTGGAGGTGGAGGATGCGTACAGGAACGGTGGGTTCGGCGCTATCCCCGCGTCGAGCAAGGCCATGGCCGAGCTGCAGGAGGCGATGGCAAGCGACGCCAGGGAACGCGGGTGCGCTGTGTGCCTGGAGGATTTCGAGGCGGGAGAGAAGCTGACGAGGATGCCCTGCTCGCATTGCTTCCATGCGACCTGCATCTTGGATTGGCTCCGCCTCAGCCATCGTTGCCCGCTCTGCAGATTCCCGATGCCAACCCAAGACCAATCTTACTAGGCTGTAAGAGGATAACGCCGCGGCCAGAGATGAAACAAATCATACAACTCTTGTGCTTACTCATGCTCCATCAAACACCATTCCATTCATGTACCATCTGTCATTTATGATCGAATAACTAATCATATGCTGTGTCGGTGAACGTTCATGACCAAAAAAAATTGTTGCAAGTTTTTTTTTTTTGCCCATTCATTAATTTAGAAGTACCAACATCCTCTTTAATCGTTATATATTAAACCTTCCAGTATTATTCATGCCAATGCCTGCTATCGTAGTAGTATATGAGTTCCGCCTCTTAAAATTTATGTTAACTAGTAGTATTGCTTTTAATGATCATTATGCTCAGGGGTCAGGAAGAAATTTATGGTTAAAGGTCTTCGAAATTATTGAGAAATTTTGTGTTAATCATGTAATGCATGTCTTCATACGTTTATTAAGTTCTGTAATATATACTATCTATTGGCTATGCACTGTGGAGATTGGATTTTTTTTTTAATAATGGATTAAGTCCGGCCTTAGCTTAGAAACTACAACCACTTTTTTGTTATTACAAAATTTTGGCTTAAAACCAAGGATACCAATACCTAACAAATGATGAAGAGATGCCACATTAAAAAGCTACTATCAACAATGAGCGAGAGATACAACATATTTAAAGAGCAATTCTATCAGTAAATTTTCATCCAAAATGAGAAAATTTACATATAACCATTGTCTCTTGCTGCCGGCATGCAACATGAATGAAATCATTGTTCTCTTCACACCTTTGTTGTTAGACACAAAACTGAAGCCAATAACCTGTGGCGATTGGATATTGAAGAAACAAAGACATGAAGTTTAAATTAACTTTAATTATAAATAAACATCCCATATAATTAAGTTAAGTTGTTTACTGATAAGCCATTGCCCTTAAGACATCGAAGATCAAGTTTATCCCCGGTTGGTATCGGACTTTTGGGTACTATAACCATAATATCTGCTGCCAAACAAGCAACAGCAGGACTGTAGGAGGATTGGAAAGCATGAGTCCTCATCAAGGGTAGAGTTGAAACAAATTAGGAGTATCTGTACATGGATTTATTATGTGTTACCTCAAGGTCTCCAGATATCTCAAGTACCATTGGTTATTTATGATTAAATTATTTATCCAAAAAAATGTATGATTAAATTGCCATGGAAGTTATATACTTGTATTGGGATTAAATTACTAAGAGTACTATGGAAGTTATAATGGGATGATCAGATCAATCCCCAAACTGACAATAAGAGCTGTAAATGGAACCTAAACACAGATTCAAACAACAGAATTCGTCAAAAATTTATAACGGGTTACTCGAAACATCAGTATGCACAGCAGCAAAGTTGAAATTCTCGATACAGTACTAGTGTTAAGGCAAGGACAAAGCTTAAACAAGTTTCTAAGCACAGCAGAACTACTACTAGTACTGTGTAAGGACAAATCTGAAAACCAAGAAAAATTTCAGATGCTAGCTCTCGCTAGTGCATTGGCATTACAGGGATAATTCTGCATATGGTGAGATGTCTTCACTGAAATTTGCTCTGTTTCAGTACAGTAAAAAACCAATAGACACTTCGTCTATTTGCCACCTGTACAACATACTTGCTGTTTCGGTAGAGTACAAAACAGGAGACAACTCTGCCTATTTGCCACCTACAATACTTACTAGCTGTTACTTTTTAATCTGTGCAATTTCAGGGTTTCTCCACTCTACACTAGTTCTACTACAACAGAATGTGCATGACATGCACAATATGATTTAAAGATAGGAAAATCCAACTGAACAATAGCTAAAATCAGTAGAGAAGGAAAATGATATGCTAATATAGATGCAGAACTGCAGGCAGTTATTTTAGTGCTTGCCTCCTTATTAGTCAAGGATGCGACGGCATGATCTTACAGAACTGTATATAATTGGAACCACACACACAACTTTATATATTCAGGGTCTACATGAACTGAAGGCAAAAGATGGCGATAATTGTAGGTGGAAAAACACTACAAGGCAACTGACAAAATAACCATGGTATCTGATAATAGGATGTGTCTCATGTGTTCAGTACACACAAATTCCAACCAAAACCTGCTAACATCAAAGATCTGCAATGTTATGAGATATGCAGATGATTATCCCATCATTTCAGCGATATTGGAATGGAGTAGCACAACAGTCTCACTGCACCGGGATTTGTGTAAACCAAGTATTCACCAGGGATAAAAAATAATTTGCGTAAACAAAGTACTCACCAGGGATAAAAAAAAAGAATGTGTAAGCCCATCACTATATTTTCTTCTTACATATGTCAGGCACAAGGCCTTGCATTGGTGTCAATGAGAAAGACAACTACCAATGAACAATACTTTTCACTGGGCCGGCCATGTTTATTAGGAGGAGAAACTGGTACGAGCTCAGCAGCAAGGCGCTGAGGATTACAACATAACCACCCATTTGCCTGGGGGTACCTGATCCCGGCAACAATGATGAGCTACCAATTACAATTAAAGTAATCTACAAAGGTTACCAATGAAAAGATTACATCAATGATGCAAAAGACAGCATCTTTGCTTCTAATTTTTCATTAGACGGGAGATAAATATTCTTCCTTGAAGTATATTGGATCAAACAACAAAGTTTATGATTGACAATCCCATAAATAAACTTACATGGTGTTCTGAAATCTACTCTAATCAGAGTAAATTTCACAAAAAACCACATTTTGCGGTCAAAGTTGCATAAACCTCCGGATATTATGACTCGAGGCACATAACCCTATGCTCTATAACCTAGAAGTATCATAAAATCCATCCTAGTTCAAATTTCAGCTAATTTTACCATCCTTGACATAATAATGTTCAAAACGTTGACTGATTAAACTGGTCATCCTGATCAAGTAACCAACATTTGAACAATACATAGTGGTTTATGGCATGAAAAATGAAGTGAATATGTGTCAACAAGTTGTTTTTTTTATGATTTGAGTGAATGCTGGGTTTTGCGAAACCTTGATACCATAATGACTAGGGTTATATGCTACATGCCATAATATCCGGAGCATTATGCAATTAAGACCACAAAACACAGAATGTTCTGAAATTTACTCTAATAAATATATCTACCAAGAATATTTAAGTGGAGCAGGACAATTGCTGCCATCTTTAGATGATAAATATATCAACCATGAAGCATAAATAAGATCAACTCAATTGTGAGACAGGACACAAGCAAAGTAACTCACTAAGCAGATTGATCTTCATCAATCAGTTATTGCCATCTTCAGGTGAAGCACTAACTCGTTCTTTCTCAGCCTTCTCCGACTCAAAATCAGCCTGGGAGGGCAGCGTGAAACGGCACACCGGGCAGATGCGGCTAATGCGGAGCCAACTGAAGATGCAGCGCTGATGGAAGGAATGGAAACATGGCATCATTCTAAGCGTGTTGCCTTCCTCGAAAGGCTCAAGGCACACGGCGCAATCCTGCTCCCTGGTCTCGCCCAAATTGGGCTGATGCAGAGTTACCATGGCCTTAGCAGAGGCCCGGTCACCGCAACCAAAGGCACCATCATGCGAGTTTTCTCTATCCTCGAAAACCTCCAAGGTGGCGGCTCGCCTCCGCGCCTCGTGCCTCAGTAGATGATCCTGAGACATCCGCACACGCAGGTTGGACCACCAGGCGTCAGGGCCGTCGTTTTGGCCGCCGAAACGGTCGGCGAGTGCATCTTGGTCACCATATCGCGCGACGAGAGAATCATAATGTCTTCGGCTTGCAGGGTTCATCGTGTACCAACAGGGACATGAACCCCCTAAATTCTTTTTGGGGGAAGAACTGTTGTTGTTAGTACTAAGGTTAAGACAAAGAGAAAAGCTTTCAGATCTAGAAGAGAAGATAGGGTAGAACGATAGGGATGAACCATAAAGAAAAAGGATGTGCGTCGTGGTGCTCACCGGAGGACGACGGCACCCACCGGTGCTCCCCTCGTGGGATGGATGGAGATCGAGAGGGTCGGCGCAGGCTGCGGGCGAAGTCGATCGCGTGGAGACTCAGAGAGTCGAGGCTGAGGGTACGGGGAGATTGACCTGGGCGGGGCGCGCGGAACGAGTAAGGACGCCCTCTGCACCGCTGCTCGCGGACGCCGGACGGTGATGGAGATTGCGCGATGAGGTTGAGGGGCAGGCGGCCGGGCAGCAAGGAAACGGGACGGGACTGGAGTGGATGAAGGTGAGGCCGTCAGGGGGTTGTCGACTCTCCAGACTGCAAGCGCAAACCAAAAAAAAATCTCTCACAGCGCTTGGTAAGTTGAGGAAAGATGATTTTGGGTGTTTGGAAAAAAATATGAGATTAATACGTGAATTTGATTTTTATTCTATTTTTATTTTGGTAGAGGTGCTGAAAATTGATGGGGAGTTTAATTAGAGAATCTTAAATAAAAATGGATAGTTGAGATTTATTTTGGTAAAGTAAATGAGTAATCCTCAGACCACAAAAACATCCCTGAACTTGAAATCGAGTTTAAAAACATCCTCAAACCACAAAACCAGATATCCAGCATCGCTTAACTAACCAAAACCGGTCACAATAGGGGCTGGCCAATGGGCGATCGATCGCTTGGAGCGATCGATCCCCATCCACCCCTATACAATCCACTCCCCTTCTTCTCTTCCTACTACACCGTAATTTTTTTAAAAAAAATAAAAAAATAAAATTGAAAAATTTTAAAAATTTATGTACAGAAATACTATATATAAAAAATATTTGAATTCAAATTTAAATTTGAAACGGGTATATAAACTTTTGACTTACAAACTTTGGGTCTTAAACTAATATTTGAATTCGAATTTAAATTTGAATCGAGTATGTAAACTTTTAACTTATAAACTTTGGGTGTATAAACTTTAGATGTATAGAAATACTATATATATAAAAGATATTTGAATTCAAATTCAAATTTGAATCGAGTATGTAAACTTTTGATTTATAAACATTGGGTCTATAAACTTTAGGTGTATAAACTTTATATATATAGAAATACTATATATAAAAAATATTTGAATTCAAATTCAATTTTGAATCAGATATAATTCAAATTCAAATTTGAATCAGATATAATTCAAATTCAAATTTGAATCGGGTATATAAACTTTTTACTTATAAACTTTGGGTGTATAAACTTTAGGTGTATAAAATTTAGATGTATAGAAATACTATATATAAAAATATTTGAATTCAAATTCAAATTTGAATCGGGTATATAAACTTTTGATTTATAATCTTTGGGTCTCTAAACTTTAGGTGTATAAAATTTAGATGTATAGAAATACTATATATAAAAAATATTTGAATTCAAATTCAAATTTGAATCGGATATATAAACTTTTAATTTATAAACTTTGGGTCTCTAAACTTTAGATGGATAAACTTGAGGTGTACAAACTTTAAGGGCATGAATTTTTTTTTTGAGAAACACAGTACAAACGCAGGCGCTTACAACGTGCGCACACTCACCCCTATGAACGCACACACGCACACCCTACCCCTATGAGCACCTCCGGAAGACTGGGCCGGCATGTCTTGAGATTGACGAAGTCACCACAGGCGCCTCGCTGTCGACGGGTACGTCGCCTACCACTGAAAGAATAATTAGCCGTAAATGCGAGCACCCGTGTCAAATCTAGGATTTGAACCCGGGTGGGCTGGTTCCACCACAAGGAACCTAACCAGTTGAACTATGCTCACTTCACATTAAGGGCATGAATTTACTAAAATAGGAAAAATAATACGATGTCAAAAAAAAAAGAAACAGGTGGAGGGAGGGGGATCCGAAGAGATCTCTAGGGGCGATCGATACCCTTACAGCTTGTTTGGCAACTTGAGGGAAGGGGATTGGGAGTTTACACGAGGGAATTGATGGTGAGATTAAGATGGAAATTTGATTTTTCATCCCAGTCTCTTGTTTGGTAGAGGTGGTGGAAATTGATATGGAGTTTAGTTGGAGATTAGATCATTACTGAAAACGAATGGCTGAGATTTGTTTAGGCGAAGTAAAGGAGGAATTCCCTCCCAATTACCTGCCCCTACCCAGGTATTGAAAAGGAGGGAGTTCATTCCTCAATTCCCCATCCCCATCCTACCAAAATTCCCATGTCCCCCAACCAAACAAAACAGTTAATAACCTCATCCCTTTAAACTCCCAATCCCTCCTAGAAACTCCCTCCAACCAAACAGACCGTTATAGCAATCTCGGTCATAATAGATCCTTCGGTAGTTTTGATCTTAGTTTTATCCTACGTGGTGACTAAGTCAGCGTGAGACCCACGTGGACCCCACATGTCAGGGTCCACGCCATCTTTCTCTCCCTTCCTCTCTCTCTTCTCCTCGCTCACTCGCTGCAGGGCCGCTAGCGGGCGCGCGTGGCCACCGTGGGGCGCGAAGATGGCCCAGCCGCGGTGTTGGCGTGGAGACGGCGAGGTGGGCGGCGGCGGCGGCGAGGGTGGGGATGGGAACGGCGGGGAAGGGGAGGGGAGCCCGAACTTGAGGTGGCACAGCATCATCAGGAAGATCTGCGCGATGATGAAGGTGAACGCCATGATGAACATCACCACCACGCTCTGCGCCGCCGACCTGATCTCTAGCGGGAAGATCTCGCTGGGCACCAGCCACCCCAGGGGCCCCCACGACCACGCGAACGCCGACACGAACACGCAGATGCACAGCACCACCACGATGGCGTAACCCCGCGAGATGTTTGCCACGCCCGCCGTCCCGAACTTGACGGCGATCAGCGTCCCAAGAACGAACTGTCCATGCAAAAAATCATCCGAATTTTGTGCGTTTGATTTTGTATCTGATCGAGTATTATGTGCGTTTAATTTTGTATGTGATCGAGTTGAATGGATTTTGTGTATGTGTGTACCTGCGCGAAGATCATTTGGATGCCGCCCTGGAGGAGGAGCTTGCGGCGGCCGAGGCGGTCGACGGTGGCGATGGAGACGAAGGTGGCGAACATGTTGACTAGGCCGGTGATGACTGCGGACATGAGCGAGGCCGTGCCGGCGCCGGCGAATCCGATGGTCTTGAACAGCACGGGCGCGTAGAACATGACGACGTTGATGCCGGTGAGCTGCTGCAGCGTCGGGATCAGCACCGATATCACCAGCTGCAGCCTGTACGAGAAGGGGGAGCGCCGCGTTGGCGACGACACGGCGGCGACCACGCGGGAGGTCGCCGGGGCGAGGCGGGAGAGGAGGAGGGCGGAGCGGCGGCGGCAGTTGCGCCCGCCGCACTGGCCTGCCGGAGGACCGGGCGAGCGGTTGGCAGAGCGGGCGGTGGCTCGGAGAGCGGCCGGCAAAGGTTTAGCTAGTCCTCGCCTCCTCCGCCGCCTCGCCGCCGACCCGGTCTCCGGTGATGGGGAAGCGCGCGCCACGCTGGCTCCCGTCAGTCCTACTCCCCCTACTTCGAGTCCCAGCTCTGCTGCCTCATCACCGACGCCGGCCTCTCCGCCTCCTTCGCCGAGGACGTCGCCATCGCCATCCGCTGCCGCTTCCCCGAGTTCCGCGGTTCCGCCGCCATAAGATCGACCCCTTCACCTAAACTTCCAACACCACCACAAGCCACTCTCCCCACCGGCGGCGACTCCAGTGACCCCCGCGCCGCCGGCAACAGCGACCATGCGCCACTAGGTAGGCCTTCTCTCCCGCCTCCTCCTGCGCCACATACTCCGCCGCCTCCACCGTCCGCCGCGCCCTCAACTTCATCCCCTTCTGTCCCCGCCCCACCCCTCGCCTCCCTCCTCCTTCGCCACCGCTCACCTCGCCGTCTCCGTGCCCGACTTCGACGCCGCGGCGGGGGCCATCTTCACGCCCCACGGCGGCCTCGCGCGCCCGCCAGCCGCCCTGCAACGAGTGAGCGAGGAGAAAAGAGAGAGAGGAAGGGAGAGAGAGGTGACGTGGACCCTGACATGTGGGGTCCACGTGGGTCTCATGCTGATTCAGCCGCCACGTAGGACAAAACCGGTATCAAAACCACTTAAGGATCTATTGTAACTAGTTTTGATTTTTTAAGGAATGACGGATATCTAGTTTCGTGGTTTAAGGATGTTTTTTAACTCGAAGTGTACTTTTTCCAACACAGTACTACGTGACACTGTAGCAATCGAGGACCGTAGAATCGCGATAATGTAGCACGAACAATACCACCTCGCTTTCCCAGCTAAAACAACACCAGCTTAAATAGGAGGCTTGTCTATGATTTTGATACCGAATATAGGGGGTGTTTGGATATGGCTAAAAATTTTTACGACTTGTCACATTGGATGTGTAGACACTAATTTGAAGTATTAAACATAGACTAATAAAAAAACTAATTTTATAAATGAGAGCTAATACGCGAGACGAATTTTTAAGCCTAATTAATCCCTAATATTATATAGGCTAATCATGGATTAATTAGGTACAATAGATTCGTCTCGCGAATCAATCAAAGGTTATGGAATGGGTTTTGTAATTAATATATGTTTTATACTCTAAATTAGCATCAAACATCCATGTGACTGTGAACCAAACATGGCTATAGTCTGGTTTTACGCGCACCAGCGATTAGAGGAAAGATGATGCCACATTGCAGCGGGTCTCATGTGTTTGGATTGATTTTGTAATCACGAAAAAAATGAATCGTGTTTCCTACCACAAGACTTCCACAGGACACCGGATTTCAATTTCTCATGTGCCGCAGGACACCTAACCACATCATTACATCATTTTTTTTCCATTCATGTAATATTTCCTTCTTATTTTTTTTAGAGTGAAAGCGATTCATTACAACCAAACAAAAACAAATAAGCTTTATTACAAATTTAATAGTATGTATAACATAATTGAATAAACTTAAAACAATTGTCTTCACCCGTCACCCGTTGCAACGCACAAACATTTTTTCTATTTTAAGAGTAAATTTCACAAAACTATATATACTTTGATCAAACTATCATAAAATTACATATTTAAGATGGTTTATCACAAAACTGCATGTTTAGAACCGAATTTATCCTAGTACTACAAATTTAAGATGGAAAATCACCAAACTACGGATTTAATAATAAAATTATCATAAAACTACATGTTTTGCATCAACTTAACTACAAAATTACAGCACTTATAACTCTTAACATAATAGTAGTGGTTGGGATTTAAACTGTAAAATATGTAGTTTTGTAATAACTTTAGTATTAAAGCTATATTTTTGTGATACTTTGTCTTAAATATGTAGCTTTGTGTTAAATCTGTAATCCTGTGATACAACACCTTAAATATGTAGCTATGCGATAAGTTGGTCAAAGTACATGTAGTTTTGTGAAATCTACTCTTAATTTAATAATAAATTAGTAGCTCAAATATGTTATTTATATGTATTTATAATATCCACATTCCTTATCTAGATTCACTAACATCCAAATAAATTCGGACACATATATAGATGAATGTATGAATCTATTCAAAACCTAAAATGTCTTTCATGTGAAACATAGGAAGTAACTTTTATTGGTATCATATATTTATCTTATTACTTTCTCTTCTTTAATTAACTAGAAATTAATTATTTTATCAATAAATTATCTTTGAAATATATGTTGTACTACTTATAAACTTAACTTGGTAGTCGAGCCCAAACCAAGCTTGTTTGAAAGCTCGAAGGTTACATAGGCTCAGCACAAGTTTGTATCGAGCTCAAACCTAGGTAGGCGAGCTCGGCTCGTTGATAGCTACCAAGAGACTTGTTAGATAGAGTAAAGTATAAGTATAATAGTTAGCCATAAACCAATTATAACTATTTGTGAAAAAAGATTGGGAAACAAAAGTTGTTAACTTTGATGCCAGAGGTAATTTTATATAGAGCTAAACTTATAGCTAATTTATACTTTCTATAAAGTTATAGCCCATTAAGTCTAAAGATCCACATGCAATCATGCCACACGCTCATAAATAAGGGGAAAAAAGATAATTTGTTCCTTAGTTAATACTCCCTCCATCTACTTTTAATAGTTATATTTCCAAATCTGAAAAATTTACTTTTGATAGGCATATTTCAATCCAACAACCTATTCTAAGGGCTTATTCGGAATGGAGGATTGAAAAAACACAGGAATAGGAAAATCATAGGAATATGATAGGAATGCACGTGTAAAACAGAGAATTGAAAAACATAGGAATACTATATAAACATGCGTTCGGATAGAGCGTAGGAAAAACATAGGAATTTTTAAAGAACCTACCCACTAACTAAAATCATCATGTGTCAGAGGAGTGAAGCTTGTGAAGATTAGTTTGTTGATTGCCTCGTTCCCATGCACAGGAAAAATAAAAAGAGGTTGGAGTGGATTGTTTGTTTTCCTGTGGAATGGATGGCCAAGGAAATTTTCCTTCGAATTTCCTCTGATTTTCCTACAGGGGATTCCTTTGATCCGAATGCTGCTACAGTACCCGAATCCATAGGAATGCAGATCCTATGTTTTTTCTGAGTTTACCCTCCGATCCGAATAAGCCATTAATGACTTTCTCGGATTTAATGAGTGACTCTCTATTTCTTCCATACAAGATTGGTTGTATGTGCATCGAGAAATGTAAATATTAATGAATAGCTTGTTTACGAGGAATAACTACTCCCTCTGGTTCTATATTAATTGACGTTTTGGACAAGGTTGAGGTTAAATTTTTATAACTTTGACCCTCAATAACTTTAAAAATATTTAGTTTAAAACAACTAGAAAAACATATATAGATTTCTCTTTCAAAAAACTACAATAAAAGTAAACATATATTTATTTATTGTATATATTATAATAGAAAAATAAGGTCAAAGGTATATCTTGTAGAGCGTGTCATTGTCCAAAGCGTCAATTAAAATGAAACCGGAAGGAGTAGTAGCATGTTTAAATGGATAATATAATTATCCTTAGTTTGTGTGCCAAGATAAAATATGACTATCAAAAGTAGATGGAGAGAGTATACCGTTAACCATCGATCGAACACCTCCTGTGCAACTACCGCCCAAGCCCCTCGTCCACAATTCGTCATCAAGTTCCGGGGGAACTCGATCCCTATGCTTTGTTCTGCCTCCCCGAAACTCTCTGCTGAAGCCCCGCGCCACCGGCGACCCTGCTGCACCGAGCCAATCGAGGTCCACGCCATCGCCATCCTGCTCTGTTCTTCACCGCCAGCACCGCGCATGAGCTCGTTTCGCCGTCCAGCCATCTCTCGGTGAGTCCTTCCGTTTGTAGCATCAGTGCATCACTATCCATCGTAGAACCTAATATCTACCATCAATTTAGGCATGCCGAGCCGAGAAATTGGACATTCTGCCACTACCAAAAGAGGGTTTCGCTATAATGCCATTCCGCCGATTGGATTCGTTAAAATGCCATCCCCAAGCGATACCAAGCATTTGTTTTGCCATATTCATCATTTCACTCCATTTCCACCAATTTTTGCACCCAAACTGATCAAAATACCCTTTGGCCTGCTTCTTCTAGCTCAGCCCTTCTCTCTCCTTGGCCACTCGTCGAACTGAGGAAGTGCTCGCGAGAGGCGGATGCAGCGGCCATGGTTGTGCCGCAGATGTTGTCACTGCAGCCACAACACGCGCAAGGTCACAAGGTGGTGAGCCTGGCGCAGCTACACAAGTGGCCGACGGCAACGAGGCTAGCTCCGCTTCGACTTCGACGACGGCGTGTCGGACGACCTCCTCCGCGTCGTGTCTCCTCTCTGACGAGCTTGTCGCGCATTTCGACTAGTACAAGAACGAGATGGCACATATGTTTCATCGTGTTGATTTGTTGCTTGCTGCTGGTGGTGCTCGGCGATGCGTTTCTGATGATGGTGGCGTTGCTTTGCTTGCTTGTTGTTGCAGATGGAGAGGCTCCGCCGTGCGCTTGGGGATGTGAGGCGGCGACACTGCCGGCCGTTGCTCGGTGCGGCGGAGGCGGCGGGGGTGCGCCGGATGAGGGAAATGTTGAGATTATAGACATATAATGATTTAATCTAT